TCCCCCCATACCTTCTAGCTTCAGTACTAGGCCGGATGCAAGAACAGCAGCAAGCAGCAACCAGACAGTGTCATGGGATGCCAGGTCTTGTAGTTTTGTAGAGTGACAGTGGATTAGATGACAGTGGACTGATTAGATAACTGTAATTATATTATATTCATCCCTTCAGGCCACTGGCATGGAGTGTTTCCCTAACTCTGCCTTGGCCCAGTGCACATGTGCTCCCAGCACAGCAGTGGACTCTCCACATGTGGCTCCAGGTCACTAGTGGGGACTAGGAACCACTGGACCCAGTTCTTCTCTTAGTTACCTGGGGGGATCCCCTCTGAACTCCAGCCATGGAGCCTTAAGGAACAGAGTCTGGGGTCGCCTGGTCAGCAGGGAGGAGGCACACTGTATGGGTGGGAAAGCAGGGGATGAACAAAAGGATGCATAAGGCTGGGGAGGGGAGAGAGAGAGCAGGCCACGGGGTGCTGCGGCATGTTTATCTGCCACCACTACAACCAGGTGAAACAGCACCACATACCTCCTGCAGAGTCAAGCTGTATGGCAGGAGTCTGTTGTGTTGCTGCAGCCCTTCCTGGGCTGACTTTGCCTGGTGTCTCCTAGAAACAGAGGTACGCTGACCTAGTGGAACTGTACCCCATGCCTCACTTTCCAGGAGGCAGGTCAGGGCTGAATTGGGAAGAGCTGCATCAGAAGCAGCCTATCTGCCCCCATAATGTAATGAAAGCAGGCACACCCTTCTGCTGCAGCCGTTTCTTAGTTTGGCTCCAAGTTGCCTCCTGAAAATGAAAGTGCATGAGACACTTTCACCCTGCAGCAGCAGTGTGAGTGTTTTGACACCCTGGGCAGGTTCTTGTAGTGCCCTGTGCTGCCTTAAGACCCTGGTTGAGAACTACCATACTAGACAATGAAGAATTGAGCCTCAGTGGTGTTTGGAGAAGGAAATAATATGCAATAATGTTTGTCATTTCATGCTGAAAAAGGAAGAACTTTTATAAGCAAAGAGGGTAAGTGTTTTATTCTGTTGCATTAGTCTTTCAACCCTCACTTTTCCTGTTTTCTGGGAGTCCAGAAGGTGGAATGGGAGGACCACTGGCAGGGCATTTCCATGTCACAACCTTGTGAACTCTGACCTGAACACTTAACTGAAAGTGGCATTCAGGAAGGGTGCGGGGCTACTTTGTGGCACACCTATCAAGAGGGTTAGCCCACACTGATACAAGCTGCAGGCTACAGTCCAGACATACCCTAAGTCGGTGTCCCCAGTACTTTTCTCCAGTCTTAGAATTTCAATACCTTTTGTTTGGTGTTTTGGTTTTATTTTTCCATCAAAATAAATCTGTTTACCACCAGTTCAGCAACTAAAAAAGTCCCTTTCTCCCGAGTTCAGAGTTTTCAGCAGAAAATTATATTGTTTTCCAGCTCTTGCACAGCACAGGCCATCTGCCCAGGAGCCAAAAAGAACCAGCCTTTCTCTAACTGGCTCCTTTCAGAGTCGCACTTCTCAGCTTCTTCCCTAGAAGTTGTAATATGACTTGGGCTCTTTGCTGTGATCAAGGGACTCCCGCAGGAGACTTGGTACTCCCTGCAGCTTTCACTACCAATGGCTCTAATTTGTTGGCTCTAAGGAAGACCAAGTGATCCTGAAGACTTACCAATGCAGCAGGTTGTCACAGATGGGGGCTAAGTTCATTAGAGGGTCTTCCCACCCAGTGACATGTTTGATGGAAGAGTAGCTTCTATTTTTTTTTAAAAAGGTAGTGATGGGATCCTCAGCTCAAGGAAATCTGAAATATATGTTAGTGCGTGAAGTGTAGCCTTTAATACCATAGAAATGTGTGTTCTTGTTTCTGTCTACTGTAAATGCACTCAATCCTTATAACAGTATCTGAAGCAGTATCCCACTTTTCTGTATTGTAAGCTGATTAGGGAATAAGAGAAAGAGTATAATTTGGAGTTGCATGTACATGTGCCTTTTGAAACTAATTTTGGCTGTAAACGCTTTATTTCATTAGGTTTAATTACTGTGAACTGAGAGATGTAAATGTTGCTTTATTCTTGATAATGCATTTGTATTTACTTAACGCACAATAACTATTTGATTCAATCTAAATAAAATGAATAGTTGTGTATTTGGTGTGCACGTAGTTCAAAGAATTATGCAGAATCTTTTATGCATTGTAACTGCTCGCCCTGATTCTAAACTTTAAAAAGCACCCATCTATTTGGGTAAGGATGCTAAATCTCCCACACAATATCTCACTGTGGTTTTTCTTCTTATTATTCTTCTTTGCCGCTCCAGGATTTCAGCATCATGTTCACACATCACATTGTTACAATCATGTTGATAAACATTTCCTATATAAACAACTGGATCCGAGCAGGAACCATGACCCTTTGTCTTCATGATTTAGCTGACGTGGTACTGGAGGTGAGATTGCTCAAGTGTCATCAGTGTCTGTCCTGTTCAAAATGTCAAAGAACCATGCTAATTGTATAAGCATTTTATTCAGTTTGCCTTGGAGCCTTTGCCTTGAAGCTACCAGAGACTAAGCATGGACATCTTTCCAGAAGTGTTCTAAGACCTTATTTGGGTAGGCATTTAGCAAGCAGTACTAAATTTGAATACTGTTAGGTAGTTTCTGGTGTATAATTTATTTTATGTTGTACACATTTTAGAAGTTATTTCTAACTGATTAGTTTAGTAAACCTATAGTTTATTATTGTAAGCTGCCCTGAGCCTTTACTGAGAAGGGTAGTGTATAAATCTAATAAATAATTCTGTGTCCTGTTAACGCGCAAACATATAGGTATGATCCTATCTTCCTCATGCTAAAGAGTGTTTCCCAGGACAAAGTCTATTCTAGATAGCAGAGCAAAAACTCATATAGTGCATTTTCTTGCCAAAAGTGTAACACACTTTTTGAAGAAACCCATACATTATGGCTTTGGGCCTCAAAGTTGGCTTAGGACCCACACTGGATGGGAACTAGTGCAGATAATCCTCAGGTGATATAGAGCCATTATCGACACTCCTATGTTTCCTCATCAACACATCCATACTAGAGGTTTGGCCAGGAAAAGGACAAGGGCTTTATGCCCAGATGATCTCCAGCTGTTGTAAAACTACATTAGAAGTATGCATTAGAATATACTTTCAGTCAGTAGATCACAAAAAAGCTTAGATTCACCATTGAACCCACACTGAGCAGCACTAAGCATTCCCTGTGTGCAGGTCAGACTCAGAGCCTATTATTATTTTATATAAAAAGACATTTTATAGAGGTTGTTGCAGTAACCCTGTTTCGAGACTAGATTATGCCTGCCATGCTGTGGTTCAAATTCTCCAATCTACTTGCATTTATAAAGTCATGGCCACATGGGTAATTTGAGTGTAAAGGAGTTGTAACTCTTGCCATTCTGATCCTGTATTACTGTAAATCCATCGTAGATGCATATACATGACTGCACAGCATGAAGGCAGTGAATAATGAAGGCTTGGAAATTAGAAATACTTATGGCCATAAAAAGAACTTTTTACCTATTTGGCAAAGGCTGGTAGATGCATGTAGGCATTTAACTAGGCAATTAATTCACCTACATGGCCCAATGTCTTATCCCTACCAATAAAATGCTACTTTGAAAGTACTTTTACATAATAAATGCTACCAGAAAACATCACAATACTTGGAAGATCTATACATTGTATGGTTTCGCTGATTAAAACCTTAATGGCAAAGTTAATGTGATGCACTTTTTTCTCTTGATTTCACTGTTCATTCACTGTCTTTCTAAGATAAATACATGAAAATGACTGATAAACCCTGTCATGACAAATACACTCAGAAAATTCTTTCTTTTGCAAAGATGAAAAGCAGTTTCCAAAGGCTATTTTGTCACAATATTCTATATCGATTGCCAATAAACTGGTTTCGGAAGGGGAAAATGGACCTGAAAAGATAGGGCGTTCCCAACTTTTTCTGTGGAAAACTCTATGCATCATTTGTATGACATTTGGCTATTTCAGGCCATATTTTCAAAATTATTTAGGTACCTAAAGATGCAGACGGTAACTAGTGAGATTTCTCAGAAGTCCCTAAGCAGGTTAGTTACCTAATTTCAGTGCAAATCAAACGACTAACTTGCTTCAGTGCTGTTGAAAGTCTCACTTGACATTTGTTTGAATCTTGAGATAGCTATCTCTGATAAATCAGTGAATATTGTGAAACTTTCTGTTCTAAGGCACACTTGTGAAACAAAGCTGCTAGCTGTATACATCTCTAATGCAGGCTGGGGTTATTGTTTAGATGATAGACTAAACTATGGTCCTTTTTCTGTCAAACTGGTTGCCCTGTGGGGACATGTCCAGATGACCATGCACATGCATTTCCTGAAAGACAAACAGCAGTGACACATAGTTGTGCAGCAGCTACTTGTCTCTGAGGAGTGCCCATGCACAGCATGCTCTGGCACATGGCAGGTTGCCCCAGATGGGGTAGGGGAGCTTTACCTGAGGTCCTGGGGCCTCCCAGAGCTCCAACAGCATTCTGGCATGCAGAGCCTGGCCAGCAGCTGGAACATGGCTCCAGTGGGCTAGGCTCCAGTTTCAGGTGGTGTACACAGCTGCCACATGCCCCACTTTTTTCAGGCATGGGGTTTTTGACACCGGGATCTCCTGGTGTAAAAAAAAAAAACCTCACTGTGCTGCAAATTAGCAGTGTGGTGAATGCCTGCTTGTCTGGCATGTGTTCTGCAGCACTGCCACATACCACATGTGCATGGTTGTCTGGATGCACCCTAGGAGGACAAGAAGAG